CCATCTCACATGTTCACAGTAAAGGCCTCTGCCATTTTAATAACCTACTAGTGTTGAAAGGGACGTTAAATCTATACCATCTCACATGTTCACAGTAAAGGCCTCTGCCATTTTAATAACCTAATAGTGTTGAAAGGGACGTTAAATCTATACCATCTCACATGTTCACAGTAAAGGCCTCTGCCATTTTAATAACCTACTAGTGTTGAAAGGGACGTTAAATCTATACCATTTCACCGACACCGGGGGTTGACGACTTCTTCTAGCTTTATTTTTACTTTCTTCTTCCGCTTCTACCGGTTGGTGTCACGGGGAGACACAGGCGTCTGTCTGCAGCAAGTCGTGTGGCCTGTAGGAGGGACATCCCGTGAGCTCTAAGGGTGTCTGCCACAGAATCACTCCATCGTCGCCTTGGTCTTCCTCTGGCTCTCCATCCAGTATATTTAATGTTGTTTGCTCTCAGAGCTAGTCACAGTATGTCAAATCCTAGACGAAAGAGCTGCGACAATGTCGATTTTAAAGTCTCGACTGGCGACAAAGTTCAAACCCACATCTCCCGGTAACAAGGATTACACTCAACCACTAGGCATAATTTACTGAGAAAGTGTAAACCAAAGCACTGAACTTGTCATTCTAAAGCATTTGTTGTATGAATCGACCAGGTTAACCCTATCCGTACGTCGTGATTTACTATCGTATCCATACGACGTGGGGAACTCTGCACGTGCTACCACTTTCAAAAGAGGAAATTTACTCGTCAATCCGATCCCTACGCATTGCATAGAAGTCCGTCAAAATGATTTTTTGAGAAATACTTAAAGTTTAAAAGAGATCTTTGTACTAGAAGTATTCTAAAATGTGAAGAATACAACCACAGGGGTACAAAATGACCCCAGGGCGTTCGGATAGGGTTAAGCTTCGGACACAGTTCGAACCAGTCAGCTCAAAGATTACGAATAGACATCAGTTTAAGGAGATCGGTTCCGTCCACATCGATCTACTCTGAACACTCATGGCGAACAGTGGCACGCGCCGCACCTAACCGACTACATGACGTCATGTGTCACGGTTGTGCGCGGAAGTGTCATACACAAAGCGGTTATCTGCAGAGAACCAACCACCTGCACTGCACTGTGCTGTACAATTTATTTTAGCCAGAAAATCAAAAATTTAATAAAAATTGCCAAGCAGGGAGAAAACTGCTGGTTTTTTTTGCGATTTCATTATTTTGACTAGCGCCTGATTTCACAACGAAGCCTCACATATATTAATAAATAATAAATAGCATTTGTATAGTGCATACCCCCGCTCAACAGCATGCTCTATGCGCTTTACACTATATTATTACCCCAGCAGACCATAGAACATTCTGAAACATTTTCAGCTTCCTGGGAAGCATACAGTGCAAGCAGCTGATTAAGCGCTCAAACACTAACAAACTGACAAGATCTTTCGCTGTCTGTAGCCGGGTACCCATTCCCACCAGGGTGAAGTGAAGAAAATTCGTGTAAAGTGCCTTTCCCAAGGACACAACGTCGGGCCCCTGACGGGATTCGAACCCACGACCTTACGGTTGCGAGTCCGAGAGCCTAACCACAAGGCCACCGACGCCACTATATTATCAGGCGTCTCTCAACATAGATGGAATATTAATATGTCAGATGATGCAGAATTTATTCAGCTTTAAATTGGTAT